AACCCCAGTTGACTCTTTTTGGTGCTCACCTAAGGGCTTTAACTTCTCAATGTACAGGTCACAAGGAAAACCTAATAATAATCATAATAATTATAATTATAATAAAAGCAAGAACTTGCTTACTTTTACTATGCACTCACTTTGCACCTTACGGTGTTTTAAATACTTTATATGTACTTAATCATTTAATCATCAAAATAGCCCTATATTTTTTATTCTCATTTTATAGATGACAGAACTGACCCAGAGAATATATGTCAGTAAAGGTCATGTCAGAAAAACAGAATACTCCCTCAATATTTAAATCAAGGGATACTTAATCCAAAGAATTGGTTATATCGGTAATGAAAGAACTGAGAAGACAAACAGGGACAGGGAGTTAAACCAGTTTGGCAACAGCAAGAAATCACTATGACTCTTAATTTGGGGGGGGGAGGGGTGTTGGAAGGAGGCAAGATTTCCAAAGCTCAGGGACCCACCTCACCAGGAGGACCCTGAACCAGGGTAGGCCAGTTTGGTGAGAGCTGGACCCACCGAAGAGCTACAGCCCAAGAAGAAGCTGCCCAAGGGGAGAGGAAGGAGAAGCAGAAATAGCCTGGATTCTCTTTTTCTCTCACCCTCTAATACCCCACCTATACCAAATCCATTCTGAAGCCAGAGAGCATGGGGCATACAAGGATAGTCCTTTCCGTGATTCAGAGCAAAGCAATGAAGTGCAAGGATGTACTGAAAGCAAATAGGCAAGGATTACGCAGAAGATTTGAGCAATTTGCCCAAGATTACAGACCTATCTGCATCTGGGTTGTTCTTTGGGATTTGTATATATGTAGCAATCATGCGCTCTGAATCAGGTACTCTATCCCCCGAGGGACAGAGGTCTCAGGAAATGACATTAATCACTTTTGACTACATACTTTTCTCTTTCCATATACATGATAGGATACCTTCAGGGAAATGTGTGCCTACCATTGTAGAAACAGAAGAAAGGTAAGAGATGAGGAAGGGTCTGGGAACTCTAAGTCATTTTCAGTGTCAGAGTGCACTTTTGGGCTTGTTCAAAGTAATGGGAACAAGTGATTCATGCAAGAAATCTGCACTTTTGTGCTGACTCTCAGTTGATAAAGTATTGCTTTTTCTCCATATAGACCTTACTTTCAAAGTAGATCTTGCAAAGAAATAGTTCACATTAGATTGGATTCCTTTTTCAATTCACAGAACTTTTTCTCCTACAACTATTCTGACTAGAAGTGTGAATATTGACAGAAAATGTGGAGGTACTATTCTTTAATGTTTTAATGCATCTCTTATTAATCTAAGGGGTTAGGGGATGGGGCAGGAAAAATGGTATTTGATAGTACATAGGTATGAAGTGTAGGATTAAGTGAAGTAGATTGAATATGACTGTTATGGGCCAAATTGTGTTCCCTCAAAATTTATATGTTGAAGTCCCAATCCCTAGTACCTTAGAATATAACTGTATCTGGAGATAAGTTCTTTAAGAGGTGGTTAAGATGAGGCTGTTAGAATGGGACACTAATCCAACATGACCTTATAAAAAGAACACACACCAGGGAAGTGTGTGCATGGAGGATCAACAATACATGAAGAGGCAGCAAGAAGGTGACATCTGCAAGCCCAGGAGAGAGGCTGCAGGAAAAACCAATCCTGCTGGTACCTCCATCTTTGACTTAACAGTGTTCTCAATTGTGAGAGAATACATTTCTCTTGCTTAAGCCCACCCGGTCTGTGGTATTTTGTTATGGCTGCCCTAGAAAATGAATATGCTGACCAAAGAAGCAACATCTGGAGACTCTCAGTGTATGAGGTACCACTGACAGCTGGAGATACCAATATTGATATGCTTTGTCAGATAAACAGTATGGCTGTCAGGACCACAGAACTGTCCGGTTGCAATGAGAAGTTAAGAGTTAGCCATGCCCTACAAAAACATAAATAAACTTGTTTCTCTCCTTCATGACTGCCCATTTAATTCAATAGCATTTTATCGTACATGTATTAGGCAGATAGTACTCTTACAGGTTCTAATTTATGAGCACCTTATCAGTGAATGGTACCATTTTGACATCATGGAAACTTCCTCTTTCAATGATTGTTTATGGTTCCCTTATTGGTGGAAATAGAATCATCCTAGAATGTCAATAGACCTACAGAAGGAAAATAATTCTGTTCCTCCTCAAGAGGAGAGTTAGGAACCATTCTTTTGTCATGGAAATTGTTCAAATCTACACTGTGGTTGAATGTTTCTCTCTCTCTCTTTTTTTTAAAGATTTTATTTATTTATTTGACAGAGAGAGACACAGCGAGAGAGGGAACACAAGCAGGGGGAGTGGGAGAGGGAGAAGCAGGCTTCCTGCCGAGCAGGGAGCCCGATGCAGGGCTCGATCCCAAGACCCTAGGATCATGACCTGAGCCGAAGGCAGACTCTTAAAGACTGAGCCACCCAGGCGCCCCGAATGTTTCTCTCTTACTCATGGCTTACAAATGTGCTTTGGCAACATATTAGACTTTTGGTGTTCAGAAATGGATATTCAAACTCATTCTAAATAAAGAGAAATAAATAGTCAAGATAGAATACCAGTTTCCTTGGTTCACGCAAGGCACAATACGGAATATTGTTAGAAACATCATTTTGATCCCACATAGAAAAACAGACTTGGTTCACACAAAGCACAATATGGAATACTGTTAGAAACATCATTTTGATCCCACATAGAAAAACAGACTTGGTGTTAAAAACTAAATTTTAAGTTTAATTTTATTTTTTTGTAAAGATTTTATTTATTTCAGAGAGAGAGAGCACGAGCAGGAGGAAGGGCAGAGGGAGAAGCAGACTCTCCGATGAGCAGGGAGCCCGACTCGGGGCTCGATTCCAGGACCCTGGGATCATGACCTGAGCCAAAGGCAGACGCTTAATCAACTGAGCCACCCAGGTGCCCCTAAATTTTTAATTTTAATGAAATCTGTCACTTTAAGTGTTTACCTGCATGTCAAAAATCCAGAGTAATACAATTTAGGAATTATTAAATAATATCCTAAGGTTATATACTTCTAATGACCATACATATTAAGGCTGACTCATGAACAAAAAACTGACATTGGGACATATTGTTAAAATGAATTAGGATATCTGGCAATGTGTCATATGTGCACATTTATCTCAAATTTTCAAATTTCCATCCTCTATTCATTCTAATTGTATGCTTTCTAAAAAAGAATGCATATAAGGATACTTGAAATTTTCTTCTCATACAAAACAATTAAGATTTTAAAATTTTCAGTAGGAAACCATTAGAAGTTAAGAGGGAAATAAATGATCAAAGTGGGCAAGTATGATTACCCTATAAAAAGATATATCTAACAATTATCTAGTAACCACTGGTAAAATAATATTTTTGTAGAACTAACAATTTAACTCAGAGGAACAGTGATTGCCAAATTCTTGAAACTAAACTTTAGTATATGGCAATATCCTTTTTTAAATCATAGTACTGGATATTTATGTTAAATTTAACTTTCTTATATTCAGATGTCATGAACTGTTTACAGTTTTTTTTTTTTTTTAATGCATAATACAGAGAAACATGAAGACGATATGTTGGAAAGAACTTTGGTCTGTAAGTGAGGTAAAATGGGCTCTAGTTTGGCAAGTAGCTTTCTTTAGGTCTCAGTGTCCTAACAAAATTGTGCATTCTATCAGGACTGTTGGATTATTCCTAAAATTCTGTATTTCCAGCCACTTCACAACTTTTCAAATTCCTCTGGCAAAAACATAGGATATCAATAAAATTAAATTTGTGATATGTCAAAATCAAATGAGCAAATACATATGAAGACTCAAGGGAAAGATCTCAAAAGGCAGTTGAATATATCTGAGGTTCCGAGCAAAGATGGCTGTAAAGTGCAGAGATTTGTTACAAAATCTTAAGAATCACTATGATCCGTGAGTATTATATAAAACCAGATATTTCAGTGATCATTTACTAAGCTTGCTTTTCTTGCCGTCAGTTTAAAAATTATACCCGGATTTGCATATGTGTGTATTGCATTTGTGACAATTTGCATTGATTATTCTACCCCCTCACTGCCGCACCCTCACCTCCTATGCCCAGATTAGTTCGTGAAGCTCAAGATTTTTTTGAGTGTAGAGACCGCTTTCTCGATGTTAAGTTTTTCTTACAGTTCCATATACGGTCAAGTATTCCATGCCGGAAGGTTCATTGCTACTTATTTGGCAACTGGTGTATTAGAATTATGTACCATCTGGGCAGTGATATTTTTGTTGTGTTGTGTGTTGCATAGACCATATTTCATTTTTATCCAATCTTCGGGAAATAAACCTTATTTCTCCAGAGCCACGCAGCGTTTGCATGGACGAAGTAGACGGAGAATGTCAATATTCATTTATGTAATGATTAGTTAAGGAGAAAAGTACATTCCAGCAAATCACACTTAACTTTTCCCTTCGGGCAAGTTTACTGCTTGTGAAATTCCTAGAAAGGCGAGCTGAGAGGACCGGAGACATAGAAAGGAGCCGGGGTTCGGCACCCAGCACGGTTTTGGAACGTTACCAGGCTCAAGGGGAAAGGTATGTCTTGGAGCAGCTCGGAAAGCTGGCGATCCGACAAGTCCTGGGCACTGAGAGAACGCTGTCCTTCGGCCTCGGCTTGGAGCTTCGCAGAGCCAAGGGCAGGCATCGCGCAACCTGCCGCAGGGGCGGCTCCGAGACAAGGCCCGCGGGGCGCGCCTTCGCCCCACCCCGGGAACGCTGGGCCCGCGCAAGGAGGGGCGGGGCCGGGACTTGGGGGGTGGGGCTCCAAGGCGGTCCGGCCCCGCCCCACCCCGCCGCCCCGCGGGTCACAATATAGGGTTAGGTCGGCCGGCGGGCGGGGCTCGGCGGGGGAGGAGCCGCGGGGCGGGGGAGGTGACGGCGGTTGGGGGAGGGGAGGGGAGGAGGAGTCGGGGAGGGAGGAGAACAGCGCCATTCCGGCCCGCCGCTCCCTCCGTTCCTTCTCCCTTCCCCGCTGTGGCCCGCGAGCCGCCAGCGAAGGAGCACGCGCGCGTGACGCGGCCCGGCCTGCTCGCGCGCTCCCTCGCCCCAGCGTCCGCCGCCCGCTCATGGCCCCGGCCGCGGCGGACGAGCCGCGCTGAGGCCGGCCGCGCGAAGCCGTGGGGCCGCCGCTGTGGCCCTCGCTGTCCGTGCCTCGCCGCCAGCCCGCGGGGCCCGCGCACGCCGGCCGCCATCGCCTTCGCGCCTGGCTGGCGGGGGCGCTGTACTCCCCGGCGGCCCGCGCGGTTCCCTGGAGCTCGGCGGAGCGCGGCTGCCAGGGCCGGCGGAGGCGCGAGGAGCCGCACACCGCTGCCTGTGTCGCCGCCAGCGCCGCGGGGGCCATGACCGTGGAGCAGAATGTGCTGCAGCAGAGCGCGGCGCAGAAGGTGAGGCGAGCCCGGGAGCCGGCGCGGCCGGCCCCGCTCCTCCTTCCGACGTGCTGTCCTCACCCGCCTCGGCCAGGAACTCCCCGGCCTTCGCCCTCCGCCCCTCGGGCCTCGGCTGCCCGGGGCTTGCTTCCCCGCCGCCCGCCGCCCCTGCCCGTCGCCTTTGGGGGCGTCGCGCCCAGTGCGACGCTGCGTGTGGGAAGTGGCGTGTAGTTAGTGGGTTTCAGTGCATTTCCTTCTTTCCGATGGTTTCCTGTAGCAGACAGTGCCGGCTGTGTATTGAGAGCGACCCTCACATTCCTGCACTCCTCTCTAGGGCTTCTGAATTAAACTTTATTCACTTCCTCCCCCCCCCCACTTTTTTTTTTTTTTAAAGAATAACCAGTTGTCATCCTTCCCGCACACAATTTGTATTTCGAAAGTGGGATCATTCCAAGCCTCTTATTTTGTAAAAGGGGTCTCCCCTAGAATTGAATTGCCTGCCTGACGGAGCAGGTACATTTACCAGGTGTACTTTCTGTAGAAGTAGAGAATTTGTTCTTTTTCCCTTTTCTGTTTCCTTTTCTTTCTCTCTGAATATGGAAATTGTCCCTAAGAAAGGAAACCTTTCTGGCCGTGTTTATTCCAGGAATCTTTTGTCCCCTAAGTTTGACCTTATTCCATCCTTCACCCTTTACTCTTGCCTCGGTCACATACTCAAATGGTCACTCACTTAAGTAAAAAAAATAAAATCTATGTGAAGCTTCAGGTCTTTTATAGTGAGTGGTGAGAGATGTTTCTTTTATTCGAGATTCTGTTTTCAGAATCTCAAGTGCACTATCATGGTTTGCACCGTATCCTGAAGAGTTGTTGGCTATGACTTTTTTTTTTTTTTTTGGTCATTTTGTGAAAAGCATTTTGGGCGAAAGGAAAACATTGCTTTAGTCGTGTTGGAATTTGGGGGGTAACTAGAGTTTACTGTGAGCAGCTATCAAAGCTGTGTTTGGTTTATCTGGGTGAGTAATTAATGCCCCACCCTGTTGTAGTTTTGACGTAGTTTGTATCCTACCTGTGCTTGATCTCAGAATAAGGCCTGCAGTCCTAAAGTGGGCTATCTATACACTCACTGTCTGCTAAGTTTTTGCTTGGAGATTATTTTTAGAATTCTGTGATAGTACTTGAGGTAATTGAAGATGCTCGAGAATTTTGGAAAGCAAGGATAGTGCATTGTTATTTTAGGCACTTTGGGAAAGTTGTCTTTGGAATTCTTGTGTAAGTTAACTGTTAACTGGTAAATTCAGAAGATTGTTGCAGACTGCAGTTTATTGACAGTGAAATAATTCTAGATTTAATAGTGGGAGTTTAGAACAGTCTATCTCCTAATCCTCCTCTTCTGTTTTGAATACCTTAAACTTTAGTTTTTGATGTTAAGTATGGGATAAAGTGTTAATACTTAGAGCAGGATCTTGTGTTCATATGTATGCTAAGCAGTATTTAATAAGTTTGGTATCATTTTTGTTTATAGTTCTCTTCAGTATTGAATATTAAAGCCTGATTTGTTTGAAAGTGGGAAATGTGGCTCCTATTTTTCACATCTTTTAAGTTTGAATAATGGCAAGAAGTTTGTGCTTTTTTTTTAGTTGATTTTGACTAAAGCACTTCTTTAGCATAGAATCAGATAATGCGGATCTGCCTGGTTCAGAGGTTTATGCATAAAATTGTAGGGTCTAGAATCGAATTACTGAAAATGGTCTTGGCCATCAAATCCAGTTTCTTAGTTTAATGAGCCCCCTCCTTACACAAAGGGAGTAGTTTTTAATCCAAAATATTACCATTATGATGCTGTTGTTAGTGTGTGTATCAAATCATTTTAGAGATATTGGTAGATTTTTCTTAGAGCAATATTATGCATTTATTTTTATACTTCCATAATGGTATTTATGGTTTTTTTGAAAAGAAACAATGTGTTTGTTTGCTTTTCACATTAATATACTTCTATTTTATTACTCATATATAAGTATTTAAAAATATTTATATAGGTGTAAGTACTTTAAACCATCCACTACAAATAAATTGATAGATTTAAATTCACCAAATTAGTAACTAGGAAGGGGACTATACGCTAGTAACTAGGAAGTGACTTTCATACTTTAGAAGAAACAAAAGTGAAACTCTTTGTTTTCACTTAGAAACTTTATGAATTATAAGGAAAACAAGTGTCTAGTGCATATTGCATGACCAAAATTTTAGCCTATTTTCTGCTCCCCTTAAAAAAATTATGTATGTGAATACACATGCATATTAGTTTTATGTATGTAGTTCTATTCTGGTGGTTGGAACAGTTTTCTATATTTTCAAGATTCTTTTTTTTTCTTCCAGAAGGATGATTAGTAATTTTTTTTTTTTTTTTAAAGTAGCACAACACAAAGCTTTCATAGGTCTTTTGTTCACCTGCAAAGTAGCTTGTCACGGTGTAAGGCAAGGGGCTGGCTGTCTTTTCCTCTGATGTGTTCTTTGCTTGATTGCTCAAGTTTGGCCATGGCGGGACTTATGAGATGTAGTAAAACTGCAGAAAGCTGCTTTTCTGAGGTTTAGGCGATACAGATTAGGTAGAGTTGGTTAAATCCTGTTCATAATTTTGGTCTTGAACAGGTATCTTCAACATTTGTGCTTGATATTTTACTGAAGTGTAGCATCCTTAGATCTCAAAAATTTAATACATACATGGCTCCAGGTCCCAAATGAGGGTTCTTTAGGGCAGTGATAGAAGGCTTCCTCCCAGGGACCAAATTGATTTATAGAGGGAAGTGAGTTGGGTACTGTTACATTAAATGCATCCTTCTGAGTTGAATAAAATATAAGATTCATAAAGGCAGGTATTTTTCCTATTTTGTTTCACCCTAGAGCTTAGAATGGTTTCTTGCACATAGTAGGTTTCAGTAAATATTTGATGAGTGAAATAATGAGCAAATATTTTCTAAAAGGAATGTAAGTGTAGTAGTTATTTTAGTTTCCTAACTGAATCTCAAGATTTAATTACTGAGAAACAGTGGACTACTGTTGGAATAAAGGCTGTGTAGTGAAAAGACTGAAGGGTGTGGGTTGGGTCTAAATCACCTTTCTCTGACCTTGGGCAAGTCTTTAATTGCCTCTGAATCTTCCCTTAAAGCCTTAAAGTTAGTATGATTAGACATGAGCAACTCTTTTAGATCTGAGTGTTTAGTGGAGCTAAGCATGCATTTATTTCTGGACAGGGAGGACAAAAAAATACTAGATGATGAGGCAGAAGGAATTTTATGGATCAGCGGTCAACTTTCACTTAATTACAGTGGGGGTCATGTGGCACGGATGTCACAGACCAACCAATTTAAGAGTTAAAGCAAAACTTGGAAAACAATACAAGCTGGATCCAGGGTAAATTTTTTAGTTAAATTATGTAGTATTTTCTAATTTAGGTATCATTTAAAGTTGTAAAAACAGTATAGCATTTCAAAGGACAGTGAATGTTATGTAAATCACTGTGAACATTACATAAAAGGGATGTTCTTTGGTACTAAATAGTTGATTATGTTGTTAGCATAAGGCTTGGTTTGGGCAGAGACTGGGATCCAGCTGCTTATTTCCTTATTCCTCCTTCTCACCTAATTTCTTTTTTTTTTTTTAATTTTTTTTTTTTTTTTAAGATTTTGTAAGAGAGACAATGAGAGACAGAGCGCATGAGAGGGAGGAGGGTCAGAGGGAGAAGCAGACTCCCTGCCGAGCAGGGAGCCCGATGCGGGACTCTATCCCGGGACTCCAGGATCATGACCTGAGCCGAAGGCAGTCGCTCAACCAACTGAGCCACCCAGGCGCCCCCCACCTAATTTCGATTTGTATACTAACATTGGCTCCAGCTGCCTTAAAGAAGTCTCATCAGTTTTAGTAAATATTCTGTTGATTTTCTTTAATATTCTATGTATATAGTTCATGTCATTTGCAAGTAATTCTCACTCTGACTTTTTCCTTGTTAATACTTCTTTTTTCATTTTTTTATTGCCTTAGCTAAGATTACAGAATACTGCTAGGATTAGTGTTAGTTTCTGTTATGTATTGTTTCATTATGATATGGAGATTTCCTTACAGTCTTAATGTTTTGAAATGTTTTGAAATCAAATTTAGATGTTAATTCTTTATAAAATGCCTTTTTCTTTTTCCTTTTTCAATGACCAATGTGCTAATTTGTGTGTCAAAAATAAACACAAAAATTGTAATAGATAACATATGTGGAATATGTTATATATACCTATGTTAAGGAATTGTGCTTAGATTTTTTTAAAACTTTTTATTCATTTAATCTTCCCAAACAAATTATTATTAGGTGAGCACTTTTTTTTTTTTTTCCTGCATGATGTGGTTGAGGAAACAGTGTTAGAGAAGAACTAAAGGAACATTTCATTGCTGTTATGTGTTGGGGGTAGAATTTAAACTCAGGGTCATGAGACTCGTGGACTCTTAACCATTATGCTGTATTGCTTTCTGGTAAAATCTCATGTAGTCATGATGCCGCCAAATTCAATATACTAAATTTTAATCTGGAATTTATTTTCTGTATTCTTAAATGAGATTGGTTACATAGGTTGCTTTTGTGCATATGGGCTGTCAAGGTAAGGTTAGCTCATAAAATCATTAGAAAGCTTTTTAGGTTTTCCTTTGCTTTTGGAATTGTTTAGTGTAGAATTAGGTTAAATCATTCAAAATTGGTGGTATTTAGCCATGTTTTATTGTTTAACCTCAGTACTTATTACTTTGAAGATTTGGTGAATATGACTATAGTAGGCTGACCATTTATCTAGAGCAAGTTTTAGATAAGCTTTCCACATTTTGACAATTAACGTTTTAGGTTTTCTACCTCTTCCGGAGTCAATTTTAAAAATGTTTATAGATTTAGATTTGATTTCATTTAGTTGTATATGTATGTATGTATGTCTGTATGTATAGGTCTGATGTTTTCTCTTAAATCTATGTAGATGGATTCCGTTCTT